AGAGCAGCTCCACGCAAAAAAAGGAAGGAAGAGGAACCGTTGTTGTCATAAGCAACATATCTGGAATGGAAATAACACATACTGCAGTGATGACGAGACACCAGACAAAGACTCACACACACCCAGAAGGTAGTGGAATTTGTTATCATGTCTATATATGTTCACGCTCGGGTTGTGATGTAGCACAAGGGTTCGTCTTCTTCTGTTACCTGACGCGCACGTTTCACTGATCTTTGCATCCAGACTGAACTGCAGCGAGTTCACAAGCAGAAGAAAATACACAACAAAGTTATCAGCAGCTTGTAGCAAGAAATGTGAGTTTGACGACCGTCGCTCTGTGATGAATATTTACGGAGGAAGTTTTAAGTTACTCAAACGTTTCCAAATAGGTCATGAATTAATAAATTAATATCAAGTCATTTCCATTTATACTTCTTGTGTTCCGTTGTTGAAAAGAGTTTGCTCAGTGGGGTGTAATTCAACAAATGTGAGGTTTCCTGACACTTTAAACACTAAAAATGACACTTTCCTTACTGTTGCATGGTGATATCACATAGGGAATAAATCTGAGAACAAACAGCAGGAAAGAAAGTTTATTTTTCTCCGGTTCATCAACAAGGCAGAGGAATATTTAGAGTTTCAGTAGCAGAAAATATATTTTTTTTCCACAAATTATTGATTCTCTTTCAACTCTCTTTTCTAAACCTAGAGAACAACATTAACCAGTAAAAGCTGCAGCTGCTGAGTTAACTGGAGCAGTTGGAGTTCAAAGCGGTCACTGAAGCCAGGTGAGTGTATTTCTCAGTCACTATCCCCACAAACACTGAAAAGCTGCACGTTTAACACGACCGAACATTATTCAAATCTACAGCTTCATTTAAAATATTTTCAACTCCTGTCGTATCCTGTCTTTAAAACGATAGATATCGCAGCCGCCGCACTTGGCAGAAGTTACCTCCTGCTCTTTATGCGGGGTGGTTGGCATTGAAGTCGCTCCCTTCAGACGTTGTTCAACTGAGGGCCGAGCTGTATGTTTCAATATATGTACATTAACATTGGTTTAAATTACGGTTTTTAATTGCTTTTAGAGAAGAAATTAAAGGGGAACACCTGAATTAACAGGATTCAATAGGTTAAAATCTGCAGCTGTGTGGAGTTTTAAGTTTCACTGTCAACGTTCAATAAGTAAATATTCCAAAAGTCGGCAGTAATCAATGAGTAATTTATAACAGATCGTCTGAGCTGAGTTTGACTCTCTGCAGGGATTTGAATTACATGAAGAAAAAGCTGTAAAAATATCAGTCAAAGGTTAAATAACACTTCCTCAGGACCAGTGAATAACACTTAGAAAATGTATGATAAAGCATAAAAGCAGCGAGACACATAATACTCCTGGACGGCTGCATAATAGTGGAAAAAAGTGGTGTAAGTGTGAGTTGGCCCTGACTGAGATGCAGAAAAGCCCAGTTCCAAAATGGTAGTCCATTCCTTATTTAGTGAATAACTTACACCATACTGTATGTGATGTGGTCGACTGATTATTAATTATTTCAGTTGGATTGTTGAGCAGCTCAGGTTTTTTTTCTCTGTGTTATGTGTAATAAACTGAAGGGGAATCACCCGAACTCACGGGCCCTGCTCAGAGACACACCAAGAATAACCCACACAGACCGACCGGCCGACTTATTTTTAGCAGCTGCTGTGACCATAATAACCGAGAACAGTCATGAAGGCATGACACGCCGCTGCGAACCCTAAAAGAGGAATTACTCACGCGTGTGGAATGTAGCTGCAGCAGAAATATTCAAACTGCATTTCTGTGCCTATGAAATGATTTTACTCTGCGTAGACTCAAGGGTCTGCTTACTGGCCTTTTCTGTATCTCAAGGGTCTTCCTCAGTAAATGGAGGTGGATGTTACAGTGGATTTAAAACGCGTGCTCTTGAAAATACGTGGACGCTTTCTTTTTTTTTAAGTCGATCAAATCTGTGTAGAAGCGTTAGAAAAAACGAAACAGCTGGCTGCAAGAGGAGGACAGAAGTGCAGATACCACTTGTTATTTGAACCCACATAACTTTATTTATTCAACCTTTATTTTATCAGGTGCTTTCACTGAGATCAGGAAAGATCTGAGAAAAAACAAACATGGCCGGACAAAACAAAAGGACAAATGCATGCCAGACAATCAAACGCACACAAAGAACATAGCCAGTTTCCCTGCAATGACGAGTCACAATATCTGCTATTAAGATGACCATGGAAATACACAGCAACATGACACATGTACAGTAATGACTTACAGTATGACCTGAAGCTTTATGTGGGGTTACAAATGCTATTATTTAATTCTAAATTAAGCTGTGGGTAACAGTAACTGTGAGTAACATGTTCTTGCCAACATCTGAATGTAGTAACAACTTAAAGAAGGTGTGAAAAATCTATTACATACAAATATAACAAAATTCTTCTGTGAAAGCAATAAATATCCTAAAAAAGCAGAGAATGTTTTAGATAGACAGATGCTTTATTTATCCCCTTTGGGAAATTCAGACATTTAAAAAAAGCACATACAGCATCATAGTTTAAGGTGAAAGAAGATGCCTAAAAACTCTGAAAGGAAAGGCTGTAAAAAACACTCTTACAAATACATGCTTGTGATGACTTTTTAAATGCATAAATAATAGATTTTAAGAGTCGTGCTTGTGTGCTGCTGCGAGACTGGAAAAATCATCAAAAGCCTTTATTTGAAATATTAGTCAAGATGCTCAGTTTTTAAGACACCAAATACTGCATGTCTTAACTTAAAGGTTGGCTGTAAGGAAAGCAGCATGAGATGACAGCACTCTTAAAGGAATACTTCAACATTTTGAGAAATAATTTTGCAGAGTTTTTCTGACTTTTCTGTCTGTTAGATAAAACTGGAAACTCTTTTTTGAGAGCAAAAAAATGAAAATAGAGGAAGAAAAAAGAAGATAACAGCAAGGCTGATGGTCAATGGTAGATGATATCAGTGTGCTTACATCATACAAGTTTCTCTACTGCTATCAGTGTATCTTTGCAGCTTTTTTCACAGACAAACCCAAATTGCCAAAGAGTCTCACGATGAGTCCTCTCTTCCCGTTTTCAACCATCTTCATTCACCCTGCAAGTTCTCAGACAGCACCCCGCAGTGTTTCATCTATTAACTGCCACACATGCAAACACACAGGCATGGACAGGGCCGTAGCTTCCACTGTGAGGGGTTTATAATGACATGAAGAGGAGTTCACCTTCTACAAATTCATCTATTTAACACGTTGGCTTTTGAGAATGATTGAGGTATTTTTTTAGACTACATTTGACTGATTTTAAGGGAAAAAAAATAGAAAATGAAATTAAAATCATAGGAATTTAGTTTTCTCCAACAGTTACAAACCACCAGGCATCACATAGGGAGATATGATTTACAGGAAATGCATTTGAAACTGTTAATTAAATAGAGTAAAGTTGTACAGTGTTGAAATTTCTTTAAATACGCAGATTTTTTTTTTTTTTTTTACAGAATTTGTTTCGCAGTTTATCAGAATTTTCTGTCATGATTTGGATTTATAATCTGAGTATTTCTAAAATCCTGGGCTTTTCTCTCTCTCAATAATCAAAACTGAAACTCTACAAGTGATGAAAAGTTCAAATTAGTATTCGCAAACAGGCTTTTTTCATAGAACACATTTTGACATGTTATAGTTGGAACAACACAGGGTATGAAAAATACAAAAATAATGATGCTTCACTTTCAGGGTGCTGCTGGTGGCTCACAGTCACACCGGTACATTTAAACAGAACAGAGTGTTTAATGCTCTTAGTAATGCCTACGGTTTTCCTACAATGATGAGTCACAATATCTGCTATTAAGATGACCATGGAAATTCGCAGCAACATGACACATGTACAGTAATGACTTACAGTATGACCTGAAGCTTTATGTGGGGTTACAAATGCTATTATTTAATTCTAAATTAAGCTGTGGGTAACAGTAACTGTGAGTAACATGTTCTTGCCAACATCTGAATGTAGTAACAACTTAAAGTAGGTGTGAAAAATCTATTTAAAAACTGTAGAAAATTACATACAATTATAACAAAATTCTTCTGTGAAAGCAATAAATATCCTAAAAAAGCAGAAAATCTTTCAGATAGATAGATACTTTATTTATCCCCTAGGGGAAATTCATGTAAGTAGCTGTTTGTGTAAGACTTCATTGTTTTGAGTCAGGACTGTGGCTTCACTGAAAGTCATCAGACAGTTGTGAAACTACGTCAATGATGTAATTGCTTTCTCTTTTCCAAACTTAGATTAATGACTCATAAAAACTTAAAATTGTACCGGAACAGTATTAAACTTGATATTGAATATGTCAGTGAGAACAGGGATTTAGGAATTTGTCATACATTACATCAATAAATGAGGAGTATTTCTAAATGGGAAATTATAGTGTAACAGACCTTAAAGGGTAAACCCTTAATTGTGATTAATCATTTTAACAACAACAATGGTTAAAACACAAACAGGTGGGCTGTTTATTTTAAATTCTTAATGGCTTTATGTCTGTGCAATGTTTAATTAGTTAAAATAAATGTAAGAAATCCAGGCTTTGTTTTTTAAAATAACTTTGCTTGGCTCATATTAAATAATTCAAAAACATGGAGGATAAACAAGAACATCATAAATATGTTGTATGTTTCATGAAAACTCATCTCTTTTCTGTGAATTAATAGAGTTAATACAGTATCAACAGTAATCCAAAAAGAGTTTCACTCATTTAAATTCTCATAATGTTTGTTCAATTGCTCCCATTACCGATTAATTAACAGATTATTTTATAAATCAATTGTTTAATATACCATCGATGTACGTTCGATTGTTTTTTAAACGTCCCGCCGTTAAGTGTGTGTGTTCTCGCGATATTTGGGCAACAGCGCCCCCTTGTTTGTGTGTGGAAAAGCGACGGGAGGTATCAGGAATGCTCCGCGGCTAATGATAGCAAGGTTAACGAATAGGGATTTAATTCACTTTCGGTCTTATCTGACACTCCGGGGGTCTACCAGAAGCTGCAGGAGGACTTAATTTTGTCGATACCCTCATTTTTTCCTGCTACATTCCCACCGAGGCGAGCAGCGAGAGCGAGAGACCCCCGCTAATCCCGAGAAGTGGGAAGCGGCCTGCTTTCTTAGCCGGCTTCCCGGTCCAGCTCAGGCGGCTAGCACTGTCACCAGAGCCCGGTGCTTCCGCTGGCTTATTTTTCTCTACACCGAAAGAAGCATCGGAGCTTTGAAATTATTTTTGTTTTAATAACCACCGCTTGTCTTTGACCTATTTCTATCCACATCGACCCGCAGCTGTCGACGTTTCTCACCAAAGAGGACCATTTCAAACCGGGGCGGCCTGTTTTGTTTTCGAGCCGCCATGAATCTCCGCGAACAATAACACAGCCGTAACGAGCCTGCTGGGGCTGCACCGCCGAGCGAAATAAGAGACACGGATGCCTCTGTGTGGGGTAATAAATGCACCGTGTGATACCAGCTCTGGACCGGCGTGAACACCCGGGGCGAGCATGCATGTGGACTATGGAATATCGGGGGGAAAAGCATTGCAGACCGGAGCACTTTGTCACGAAAGCCCCCGTTTAAATTTCGGAGCTGCTGCTGCTAGCTAACCAGCTGTAAGTAACGTTAAAAGGCCACTGGTGGAGGAAAGGGCGCCACACGATGCTTTGTCTAATCACAACTCACGGATTGTATGGAAACAAACCGAACCGACTTGGGTGAACCGACGTTTTTATGCATGGTTGGCCTCCCCGTGAATGCAGTTAATAATCGCTCCTATCGGAAGCAGCAGTGCTTTTAGAGCTGGGGCGCATTGGGGATGGATTGGATGTGACTGGGGGATGAGTAACCTCGATTGCTCTGTGCACAGACTGCTATATATGTGGGATTTACCGACTGGGAACTGAAACCGTTACATCCATCTATGCTCTCTTCAAAGCCACCAGACTCCCTTGACAAAAACACTAATTTTACCTCACACAACACTGGAGTTGCGGCTAGTTTGTGTTATTGCGCGGCTTTGGTGTTTTAACGTATTCGTACAAATTAACGGACCGGACCGGACTGGGGCCCCGGGCCAGGCAGCTGAGATGAACCCGGTGAATGCGACCTCTCTCTACGTGTCCGCGAGCCGTTCGGTGCTGCAGTGCGACCCCCGAGACCCCCGGGCCCTCGCGGAGCTCTGCAAGCTGCTGCCGTTTTTCCGACAGTCCCTGTCCTGCTTGGTCTGCGGTAAGTGTTTAGTTGTTATTTTTTATTTTTTATTTGATAATGTGCCAGTGTGAACGTGTGTTTTTGGGAGAGGTTTTCGGTAACGTGCGTTGTTGTCAGCTGTGCTCGCAGTGGGAACGAGCCTTTAAATAATGCTGCTTTCAAGTACAATCGGAAATATCTGAATTAACTCAGTACCTATCAAAAGTAAGATTAAAAAAAGTTATTTTCATGATTAAAACTTTTCAGTACAATTTAATGAAATCAGATAAAAGTACGTAGATTCCCATGGAATAAAATACATAACAAAAATAGCATAATAGTCAAACTACAAAATAAAGCACAGATTGTAAAATAAAACTTGAGAGTAACACTGATATATGTTTTTTAATAACGTTATCAAAATATGTATTGTTAAAGAATAAAAGAATAAAACAACAGTATAGTAGTGCTACAGGTTATATAATATATATGGGATAATACATAAGTTGCATACAAATTAATAAAAATATCTGAAATTGCTATTCTGCATAATGAGTACTTATAATACTACTCTATCTTTACTTAAGTGTTGAAAGTTGAATGTTTGATAAGGAGAAGAGTCACAGCAGATGTGCACAGTGGTGTATTCAAATTATATGAGGGTGCTTGACATGCAGAATCTGCACAACCCCTGTTTTTTTTTGGTTTTGTTTTTTTGTTTTTTGATACCTGAATTTTTTTCTAGGTGAGACGTGCAGAGAATTTTGCCTGGGACGGATACATTTATTAAGATTTATTGCTTTTACCTTTTTATGCATGCTGGTGCATGAATAAAAGAAAAATATGAGCAGCTTTTATATACACTTAAATCCATCTGAATTCAAGTCTTGTTTATGAAAATCTGTAAGCGCCGTGTCCGAAGCGCAGTGAATGCATCATCAGCCACAGCTACACCCATCGTGACACACCCCCCTCTGTGTGCTGTTTGGCAGCATCGGGGCGTTTCTCTGTTTATCATGTTGAATAGCAGTGTTTCCACATACTGGATGTTATGCACCTAATCTCTTCCTCACACTCTTTATCCCTAGAAGATTTTTTTCTTCCAGGCAAAAAGTAGAATAGATATGAAAAAGTAAATCAAGTGGAGAACAAGGTGAAATATTGTTTGTCTACTTTAGGAAACAATCTTGTTTTACAATGTTGAAAAACATTTTTTTTTTCAAGCCAGTGGCTGTAACTGTACAAGATAAAATTGGCTGTGATTCAATTTGTTTTCTGTGGTTTGTCTGTTGGTGGTAGGTTGTAAATAATATTTTGATTTATTATGGTTGGATATTTAATGCATGGTTTTCACTTCTCATACATAATGCAGCAGCTCTCTCTTAGCCATAGTGAGTGGATATACCGCGCTTTGTGTTTCATGTTGTTTTGTGCCTCTACAGAGGAAGCTTTTTCCAAGTTGTCAGTAAATGGAAAGATATTTGGATTATATTTGAATTATTGATGTTATATTTCATATTGCCCCGACTCGGTGTGAGTCAAAGGTGATATATATATATATACTTACAGATAACCTCCTCCATCTCCACTGTATAAATAATAGATCAGTGTGAAAGCAGTCCATACATTGTGTTAAATATAGACTCTCTGCAGTTATGTGGGATTTATCGGACAGAGTGTGTAAGCTTGGTTGTTTCTTATGAATGGACCTTCATCCTCTCTTCCTATCCGCAGCTGCACTCCCTAGTGATCAGCGTTGCTAAGGAAGCTCCTCTCAAAGAGCGGTTGTCATCCAGTCTGGCAAGTTGCCAGGCACCACTCAGGTTTACAAATACATATCGGTTCAGGAAGCTACTGAGGAAACAGTAGTTTGTAAATCATAAGAAAAAACGTGAGAAGCCATGACCATAGTTTATCAGGGACATGGATGTGCTTGGATACTTCAGCCCGATAAGAGGTTTGTTGCAGTGTTTACATTGACAAGCTGTTCTGCTTTTTCTGGATCCCGTGAAAGTCTGTTAATTAATCATCAGTGTGAGCTGATCTGATGTGTTCCTGTGAAATGTGTCATGTATTAATATTTCCTGTTTGCTCTCTTTACTCTTATCATCAGGTAACTTGCTGCAGGACCCCATCGCTCCCACCGACTCGTCATGTCAGCATTACGTCTGTCGAGGCTGTAAGGGTCAGAGGATGCAGCTGAAGCCGTCCTGTAGTTGGTGTAAAGACTATTCCCGCTTTGAGGAAAACAGGCAGCTCTCCTTGCTTGTCCACTGTTACAGGAAGCTCTGTCTCTACATCACACAGTCGCCACTCGCCCCGCACATAGCCAGCGCTGCCAGTGACTCGCCGGACCTCCAGGCCATCCTCAACGAGGGCCTCACGTTGGCCGAGAGCGAGCCAGAGGCGGAGGACATTTCAGATTCAGTCGGGCCGTCACAAACAGCCTCCACCTCTGACGTCGTCCAGCCCAGCGAGGCTCCTCCTACAAAGGAGCTGAAGGGGGAGGAGCCGAGCCCCGTGAGCATTAACGGACTGCATGATTGTAACGGCCTGGTCAGTTCGGACACTCTGCAACCCATCACCATAGAAACAGGTGGAGGTGTTGCTAAGCAGGAGAGCTTCTCGGGGGAGATCCCGGTGTGTGTGAGTGTCACGGGGACTGGGGAGGCGGGGCTTTGTGACATCAGCACTTTTGGGGATGAACTAAAACATGGAGGGGGGCCATTGTTGTTGAGTGTTGAGGAGGTGCTCAGGACTCTGGAGACGGACCCTGACCCCACACCCGAGCCCAACCCCCAGCCAGACTGCCCCCCCTCTGTACCTCAGTCTAGCCTCAACGGGTCTCACTGCCCATCAGGGCCGGACTCCTCCCGCCTCATCCCCTCCCTCCCCCCAGAGAACAGCACTCGTCCCCTCCAGCCTCACCCTCAGCCATCCTTGCAGCCCCCCCCTCAGCCCTCCACAGTCGTCCCTCGTGTCCCCCCTCGGTGCCACCGCAAACGTTCCCGTTCAGAAAGCGACAGCGAGAAAGTGCAACCCCTCCCCATCTCCAGCCTCCTACGAGGGCCTCCCCTCGGTGCCAACAGCTCCCCCCACCACCCTAACCCTGGTGCCACCACCAAACAGGAGCCTAAATTTCCTGCAGCCCCGCCCCACCCCCACCTGGCCCCGGTGCCTAACGGTGGACCCCCTAAAGTGGGCAAGGCTGTGCTCGTCTCCAACAAGGCACTGAAAAAGACTGTGGAGCATCACGGGGCCACTAAGAAGGCTTATACCAAGGCCAGACAAGGGGTCCCCAAGCCCCGCGCACAGCCCCGTGACCGGGTGCCCCCACACCCCCACGCACACCCGCTGACACACCCACCCAGCCCCTCGAAGCCACTGTATAAAAAGCCTGTGGAGAAGAAGGGCTGCAAGTGCGGCCGAGCCACACAGAACCCCTCCGTGTTGACCTGTAGGGGGCAGCGCTGCCCCTGCTACTCCAACCGCAAGGTGAGAACACTAGTGACCCTAAACACGTTTACCTGAGCTTGTGTTTGTTTACATTGCAACATGTTTTTATGGCTGATTGGTTTCTCTGGGAGTGAAGCGTGGGGTTGAAACATTGTTGACTCGGTCATAAAGAGAGTGAGGGAAGTTCCTCCTCTAAGCAGTTGATGAAACAATCTATTTGTCCTGTGTAAACGCTGGATGACGTGCGATGTTGTCATTATTGATTAAAGCGTTTTGTTATTGATTGTTGTGCTAGGCGTGTCTGGACTGTATCTGCCGCGGCTGCCAGAACTCCTACATGGCCAACGGAGAGAAGAAGCTGGAGGCCTTCGCCGTGCCGGAGAAAGCTCTGGAACAAACCCGACTCACGCTGGGAATCAACCTCACCAGTATCACCGCGGCGGCCCTCCGCAGCCCGGCCACCAGCTCCCCTGGCAACACCCTCCTCAACGTCACCGCGGCCACGGGGGCGCCCGTCACCGCCACCTTCCTGTCGGGGGCGGGGCACGACAACAGGGGCTTTGACGATTCGCTGGAGATGCGGTTTGACTGTTGAGGTCCCGCCCCTCCTGTGATCAGTCGTCACGCACATTCCCCGCCCCGCCGGCTGGGCGTTATCCATCGGGTCGTGCCAGGGACCTGCAGTGGCGGAGCCAGAACAAGGCAGCTACAGTGACAGGCGGTAGTGAGGGTCACCAGCTGAAGCTGAGGGTTTGCCCTCCGTCCATCGCCCGAAACTGCACCATGCTTGTGGTCTCGCATTACAGATGCAGCGTGGAAGAGAAGAAGGAAAAAGAAAGAGGAGATGTAGCGTTACTGTATGTGCAGCGATTTCATTTCAGCGGGGATAGAGTTTCTTTTCTTTTGTTTTCTTCTCTACTGTGGGTAAAATGTGTAGAGCATGTTGTGTAGCAAAGTCGGGAGTGTCGACCACGGTCACACGCCTCCGTGTGTGTGTGTGTGTGTGTGCGAGCATGTGAGTGTGTATGTATGAAGGGAAGGGTTTGGTTTGGAGATGAACCTTTATTAGCAGGAACGGAGACATCATCATTATCGCCACCATCATCATCATCATCATCAGAGACTGGTGTAATTTATATAAAAGAAAGAACTTTTTGTACATGGACTTCCCAGTTTCCATATAAGAAGACATTTTATGAAATATTTTATAAGTTACATTCAAAGCAATGGAAGCCAGTGCAGGGGGCGGAGCTGCTTTCAACCAGAATATTTTCCCACACGTGAACGGTAGATTGTGTTTTGTAAACTGTAGACGACCAGAAGTAAAAACATGACACGATACAAACCTGAACGTAAACATTAAATGATCCAGTCGCTCTTATCTTTAAGGATGTGAATTTAACACCACCAGCCAAATGTCAGGTCTGTTGAGTGTTAACACGCCGTGACACCCAAACATCATGCTAAGATGTTGTTGCATACAAAAAAAAGAAAAAACAAAACCATATATTTAAGTGGTTAAATGGTGAATTTTGTGTGTTTAAATATATCAAGGTTGCGAGATAACCTGTCGATCATTTGTGTGTCCTTGTATTAAGCACTTTTCTCACTTTTTCACACACACACACATCTTCAAACCACCATATTATACCGACCTGTTGTCACCTGTGTTAAATGCTCTGGTTGACCGCAGGCCCCCCGCACGCTGTTTTCACAGGTTTTTGGTTTCTGAAAGCTACACACATGCTGCTAAACACAACAAAGGACTCAAGAAGGAGAGCACATGTTTTCCTTGTCTTTTGTTCAATTTTTTTTTAATAAGTTTTGTTAACAACATTTGCAGTATTTATTGGACGTCTCCTACCGCAGGCTACGTGCCGGGCTTCAGTTTGACCTACTCTGCCTGTCAAGTCTGTCGATCCAGTCTGGACTGTTTCTGTCTCGGTTAATTTGCTGTCTTCTTCTTAGTGTTAGTTTCTGGTGTCTCCAAACTTTTTTGTTTTTGTTTTTTTTGTTTTTTTTTTTTGTTCTCCCTCGGGGCATTTAAATACCTGTAATATAACTGTAACATATTTCCACAAAAAAGAAAGAAAATCAAAAACTTACAAAGTGTTATGTGATTATTTGTTTTCTGTCTCGCTGTCGTCTGAAGCCGTATCTCTCTGCAGTTTTCTGAGGAGCCACAGTGTGTTGTTGCTTCTTCCTGCACCACTGAGGATCGACACTAGAGGGCGGCACAGAGCTTCATGTTGCAGCGTTTACAACACACCAGCAGGGGGCAGGACACCCCCTGTCAATGTGCAGTACTCTACAACAATCCCCATCAGGTGGACCGGTGTTTCTGTCCTTTGGGCTCCCTGCAGCCTCACTTTTATTATTTTGAGTGACTGAACGAAACGAATGTCTCAGCTCTGCCAAAATAATAAATAATAATAATAATAATCGATTTCAATCACAAAGTAAAAAGTGTAATTTAATTTTAAGTCAGATATTTGACAGTCCAGAGAGAAAAGCTCCAGATCAGATGAGACTGATCCTGATTCTGAATAAGTCAGGTGGTTTCAGGCGCAGGATTCCCTCTGCTATAATCTGGTTTTGGCAAACTGCAGCGCTCTAAAAAATTTATGTTGCGTAACTGTTTTAAAGTTCAGCTTTAGTCACCAAAAGTTTCCACTGACCTTGCTTTCTGGTTTCCTTTTATTTAGTCCATCGATCTGTCATGCAACTCACAGAGCACCGTCGATACTAAATACACAAAACATCAAATAGTTTATTAAAATAGTTTTGACAAAGACAAATATAAACGATGATACTGTAAGTACAAAATAAACACATTTTTTCATGTGTCTTTGTAAAATTGATTTTAAATAAACTTTAGGTTCATGACTGAATAAAGGACTACATAAGGAAATCAGAAACAACCTGTTGAAGCTGAAAAAGTTTGGTGAATAAATCGTGATGGAACTGCTGTTTTTTTTTCTTTGTTTTTTTGTTTTACAGTGTCTTTATTTCACATATTTACAGACAAAAACATTTTTATATTTACATTCACATTAGTTTTGATCTACTTGGTAAAAAATATTTTTTTTTGTTCTGTTCAGATTATTGTACAGTTTCATGTTTTTGGTGCCTTCCAGATGTTCCACGCTCCAGCTGACGACGACCGGCAGCTGCAGGTGGATGTTTTCCTGTTGTTCCACATGGAGGTCGAATTAAAGGTACAGTCTGATTTCACATCACTGATCAGGTGTAAAAGGAAAAACAACAACAAAAAAAAAACACCATCAGACCGCAACAACCAGCAGATTACTGTCACTACTTTCACAACAAGGAGCTCAAACACGACACTGTTCAAATAAACCACACCCATCCACTTTACTACACATCTGGTCCTGAAGCCAGTTGCACCAAACACCCTACATTAAGATTTTCCTTAAAGTCTGAGTTCAGGTGTCCGTAAAATAAAAACAGTTGCACAATAAACCCTTAAGGTTTCCTTAAAATGTTCACTTAAGTTTTTAAGATTTTCTCCTTTTACTTTAGGAATCACTTAAACCAGCGATTTTTAACTTTTTGAATTTTAATTCTGTAAAATCTCCTTCACTCCTGCAAGTGCCTTAACTTTTTTCCTTAACTTCTAATTCTGTGCAACACCCTTCAGTAGCTCCCTCAGCTGAGGAAACATCAAACCTTAAGTGCCATACTTATGTTGAGAACTTAAGGTGTTTTGTGCAACCGGCCTCTGGAGTGTAAATTAGTTGCTGTAATTTTTGTAGATACCAAAACTAAAACAACCACTTAGAAAAAAAAAAAAATCTATACATTCAAAGCAAAAACAAGAAATTAAGGAGAAAAAAGTCACGTTTCATATTTACATAAATGCTACAGTGAATGCTGCATTCATGTCACACCGTTAAAAACAATGATGTTTAGTTTCTGAACCTTAATTACAAAAATAAAACGTCTTTCTGTTTCGTCTGTTCTATTTTTGAATTGTTCACTTTTGTTTGTTTTTCTCAAACAAGATCTGGATGCATCAGTGAATATAACTGAAGAACTTGGAACAGTCTTTATGACCAATACAAAAGGTATTTAAACATCACTTATCAGATTAATATGAAACTTTCATCACATGACAACGGGTGTCTCGTAACTCCATGAGCTGATAACGACCACGAGATGCTAAATGAACCTTTTGTCAAATCCATTTCCTATGGATCAATAATGAACCTTCACATGAAGTCACTGATGCCTCCAGCTCTCCTTCAGTCAATTATAATCAATAATTTAGCTTTATATGTTCTCGGGCATCAGTGGATTTGCTGCAGTTTTCATTACACCACGTGGAAGACGGCAGAGCTGCGAAAGAAAAACCCCCCCCGATATTTCTGCTGTTTGGATGCTGATGTGAAGGATGTTTTCCACGTCGGCAGGTCACATCTGCGCTTAATCCAACGTGACACGGCGGCCCAAGAATACCAGCCGTTAGCAGGCATTAAATACACCACTTGGAGAGCGCTTTGCGGCGGAGGAAAGACTGACAGCAGCGGGAGAGACTCTGATGCTGCCGCCAACGAAAACACAGGCAGCAGGGTTTTGAAATTTTTTACTTCAGAACTCACAAAGGAGGAGGGTGATGAAGTTACACCTTCTGTCTTCCAGTGTGGTCGTCAACATGGGCAACTTCTCTCACTCTGACTGTGTCTGAAAGGCCTTTAATTGTCTCCACCCTCGTGTTTGACATCTTACAGAGGGACAATTAAGACTCCTAATTTTCAGGCCAATTAGAAGAATTAAAAATTAAAAACAACACAAATTATAAGCACAATATTTACATCTTGAAACACAATCACTTAAGGCAGATGATCAGTAAATACCATCTGAGAAGAGTTTCACACAAACTGTTCTTAGAGGCGGTTTTTTTCTGCAAAGAAGAAAACACTTAATAACAAATAATATAATTAATACAGAGTAAACTACTGTTGTTTTCCTGTAGGTGGCGCAGGTTTGCTCGTGTATATCTGAGCCGACCCGACAGCTCCCCCGTGCGGAGAATCCGGAAGGTGAGTTTGCCGAATTTGTGGAATTTCTTTTAAAAGATGCTTCACATCTAATTTTAAAAAATGCATTCTGGTGTGTGGAATGTACCACCACTTCCCACATAAATGGTACATTCCTAGTCACATGACTGCTGTGTGTGGCACAAACCTGGGAGACATCATGGGACATCAGCTAATGCTGCTTGTCGTTTCGAGCAAAAACAAGTCAATTTAGGGTTTGGAGTTTGGGGTTCTCTCACGCCAGCTTCGAGGTCCTGTAAATACGACCATATGTCTACTGCACATGTTGCGTGCATATGTATGTTTCTAATGTGAGACATGAACATTTAAAGGTTACGAAATATCCCTTTTGGGACAATAAAAATTATCATTGTAAGCGAGGAAAAGCCAAAGTGATCGGCGGCCGTGTGGATTTAGAAACAGCCTGTGGTTTGAAGGAGAATGGGGAGAATTGTGCAAACGAACAGATGCAGACCACAACCAGGAATCGGAGAATGATCTTTGTATCAACTGAGCCGCGAAAAAACAAATTTATAGGTTGTAGGTGCAACCATTAAAGGGGTGACTGAGCGGCTGAGATGACGTCAGCCTCAAAGAAATGTTTGTGGAACGAAACCGTCTCAGCAGAAAACTCTTTTTTTTTAGTGACAAGTTCAAATCTTAAATCCACGTCAGTCTTTTGTCCCTTCTTCACCCATAAAACCAGTGTTGTCAGATATTTCCGGTTGTTTCAGTTTTTCACTTCACGGGCGCAATCATCAGGGGACGTTTATGATCAACTCACACTTTATAAAACACGAATCACGTCTGCAGATCTGAGAGATTTCCTGCGTCTGATTCTCTAGCTGATGAGAAAAGCGCCAAAGAAGCTGCTCTTCTCGTCCATGTCCACAGCAGAGGCGTTCGTCACGGTGACAAACAGGCGGTCGCCGGCGCTGAGCGGGAACAGCCCCCCCTGGTGGGCGGAGTGCAGAGAGAACTGGGAGCCCCGGGACCAGCAGGAAGTCCGACTCGTCTTCATCAGCAGGATGGGAACCGGGTAGGAGCTCACCTGCAGGGGAGAGGAAGAGGTGAGAGAGAGAACGCAGATAGAACGAGGCGTTCGTGTGCAGTTGGAGAGGTGGATGCTGGGAATTTGTTGGGAATAAAATCATATATGTTAACAACAAATATTTTTTTGTAATATAAGATTTTTGAATTTGTTTGATTAGGGAATTTTACAGTTAAAAATTTACTCATCAGTTCCCCCTAGTGGACTAATTATGTCATAACAATGACTTTATATCTAAATTACCTCAAAAATAAATATGTTTTACATTCGTGTTCTGACAATTTCTCATTTGCAGTGTCGACTGACATTAACTCTGCCACCACTTTACCTGTGACAAGCTAATGTCGTCACCAGGTCGCTCTAACTAACAGCACAACTTTTATAAACTTTATGTTGCGACTGGACGTCAGCTTTGGTCCGTACTGCGACAGACGAACCCCGGACGACTTCACACATACAGATGCTGACTTTGTTAAAACATCGTCTTCAATTAAGTTTCATTAAAACAACATTTCGGCTTCATGTCTTAGTAAGTCCTTGAAGGCACCATCTGCGATCCATATTAGAAGGAAAGCTTTGCAGCAGCATCAAAGTTCAAAACATCAGAATGTTAATTCTCTTCATTACACAAACAAAGCAGCAACTTAACTCTAAGCTAATGGTTTTATAATTCTGTGACCATGAGTCATTTAAATGGTCAAAAATTATTAACTGGACTTTAATTCTTGAATATTAATATTTTCCTTCCACTTTCCTCCAAACAACAAATGCAAGACGACTTTTCACCTGATGTAATCCGTCTGCTGTCGCTGGTTTTATTTGAGGCACGTGATGATACATCGAGTAATATCTAGTTTTTTCCTGACAAAGCAGAGAGAGACTGTGTTTGGATGTTTGCTGTGAGGTGACACACGCTCACTGTCTGGACTCGTGTTAGTCACTTCACATTTCATTTGTCTCACTCTAAAGACACAAACGTCCCTCAGATACCGTCCCGCTGTGAATCATCAGTCTGTGGTTTTTCAGTGCAACAAAAACTAATATATAGAAGAAAAAATAATAAACTCGCAGACGTGTCCTCGTGCCTGGAGGTCAAAACAACGTCGTATTTCCTGTCTGTCTCTCCACAGACGGCCTGATGCAGAAATTTTAAACGACTTGTGTTGAAACCAGATTCAGATTCTCACCTTTTTATAGACGTACTGCAGCAGGGGCCTCCCTCTGTCCTCCGCCTCCTCCTCGTCCTCACCCTCCTCCTCCAGGGAGTGGGTGTGTCTGAAGTAGGTCTGGGCGTAGACGTAGTAGAGGCCGGGCTGCGGCACCACCAGCTCCCCGTCCACCAGCTGGACGTCCTGGAGGAAGGCCAGCCCCTTCTGCCCCTCCCACCACGAGATCTTCTGGCCCTGAACTCGACGCCCCGTCGAGACAGGAGCTGCGTAAAACCAAACACATTCAGATTAAAATCAATTAAAAACACAGAAGGTGGGGGTTTTATATGGAAGCTCTTTGCCACCAAGAAAAGAAAAGAAAATAGATGAATGGTAGGAATAATAAAAACATACATTTATGGTATATTTAAGTCAAATTTGTGACTTTTTATGTTTAAGAAATAAGAAGTTAGGGATGATAAAAATAAAATCAGAAGATGTTTTTCATTCAAGTCTTAATTATAACTTTGTAAGTCGATACTATTATTAGATAGTAAGAAAATAAAAATATTATTATCTAATAATTTTGACAATTTTGATTTAACATAAGTATTTTTTATTTTTTATCATTCCTGTTTTTTCTTTTCCTGGCACAAACAGATTTCCATAGACTTCCACAGCTTTGTAATAACATAATGTAGAATATTTAAATCTTTTTTTTATTTATCCTTTATTACAAAGGTTCATTTATGCAGATGCAACGTTTTCAGTCCGTTGAGCTTTTTCAAATAAGATTCAGAACAAATTAAAATCACTAAAACTGAACTGCGGTTCTGTGCAGGCGGATTCAATTTAAAAAGTAATTTTGCTCTGTGTTCCTTGAGGATTCCCTGAATGAAACACAAACAAACACAAAACAATAAAATTATCACAGATCACTTTAAAACCCTCAGACGAGCTCCTCGCATTCAGACACTGTTGTTTGAGGTTACGGGTCATTTTCTCACCTCCTCCCTCTCGCTCCAGTTTGGGCACGAAGCTGCCGGTGACGTGCGCCGCCACTTTGGGGCGAGGTGAAGCCCTGTCCTCCATCACCAGTGAGGGCAGCACCCGAGATACCTCATCTAATATGGAAAAATAAAAACAATAAACCAATGAACGAATATTACACCGACACAGGAACTAGACTCATATCTGCTCTGTCTTGCTACACAGCAACTTCTTCTTGTTCAATTGATTATTGATTAATTTGTATGTTATAGTTTGTTTTTCTCACCTCTTACTGCCGAGGAAATCTGCCTCTGGTAGCGCTGAGACAGAGACTGCAAGGAAAACAGTAGAGTCCATTTATTAAAGATTGCATTAATGCATTTCTGAGCCTCATGCCTCCAAAAAAACAAAACGTTAAACGTTGACAAAGGAAAGTCAGAAATCTGTTCCTGGAGCGTCCGTAGAGAAGCGCTGTAAATCCGAAAATGAATAAAACACACACAAAAAAACATACATAACATTCACCACAAGAGCCTTGAGCTCAGACCACGTCCCTGCCAAGCGGCCATTATTTGACTTTGGCCCTGAGATTCTGCTGACATGCGGATCGGGAAGTTTGCCCCGGTGAATAAAAAGGAGTCTTCACGTTCACGTCGCGTAACAGATCCGTCCCTGGTAATCGACCCCTCTCTCCCTTCCTCGTATTTTACATTCCTTCACCCAATTAATTGGCTCCAAAAGATGCAACTACTGCCAAACTGATGACAGACATTTTCTTTGTAAAACCGGATTCTGGATGTATGTGTGTGTGTGTGTGTGTGTGTGTGTGTGTGTGTCAGTTTGAATTCAGGAGGGGGGGGGAGAAAAGACATATTTCTAAGTATAAATTTATGGGGTTTTTTTTGTTAATAGCAATAAATGTTTCACCAGTGCCGCTGCAGTTCTCACTGGTTACCAGAAGAGGTTAATGGTTTCTCCTTCTCAGCAATAAATGAGAAGACAGGGAAAGAAAACAGCACATTTATGAATTCAGTCAGTGTGAACAAGAATTTATGGGCAGTGTAATGACTCTCAGATTTGAGTTTTCTCTGAAGTTTTGACATGGCTTTTGGATGAAACGGAACATGAGGCAAGACTTTTGTTTTGAAGGCGGGAATCAAAGGAAGACCTGGAAAAAACAAAAAACAAGCCATAATCAAAATGTTGCAAACATATGGGAGGAACAACACATACGCACAAGCTCCAACAACGTTAGACAACATTTAATTCAATTAAAAACACAACACCACTTCACGAAACGACACTAAATCAATCTGGGTTTTTCCTCATAATTATTTGTTGTCCTCATAAGAAACTTTAAATGATATTTCTTTTCATGTATGCTAATATTTATCCCTGTAGTGCTAGTATTTATGACATTATTTCTAAAGGCATTACCTCTAATTTAGAGCCAGATCTTTTACTTTCTCTTCCTTGGCACAAAGCTGAACCTCTGCAGCTGTGACTGTCAATCCTCAAGATATTTCAGCTAAAAACACAAATGTCAACCTTCGTGGCGGCACTGGAGGAAAAGTCTGAGGATGAATCATACGATCATGAATATCTGAACAAAATGTGGTTCCAAATCCATGAAGTACATGATGAGATATTTCATGAAGAACGACCATTTCAAATCATAATATCTGCCAACGCAAGTGTAATATGATTTTTTTCTTTTTTGCATATCCTGCTGCCCTACTTTGTAATATTTTGCAGCATCACAGATATCAGCTGTTTATGGGGATATTGGCTGGTTTAGGGTTGACTATTGATTATTTTATTGTTGTGACTACTCCTGTGTTTTTTTTCTTTGGCTTCATAGTTTATAGTAATTTGATTTTTATCAGGATCTTTAAATGTAGATTCACTGTGTCCTGAGGTAAAAGCACAAAAACAGTGTTCTGGCTGAAAATGTCCCTGGCATCATGTTTATGCTCTGAACTAAATTTAATCGGGCAGCTGAGTCAGAAAATACCCAAAGTCAGAGGAGGAGGAGGAGGAGGAGGAGGAGGAGAGGGGAGCAAAAACAAACAATATGTACAAATAGCAAGTAAAGGAAGAAGAATAAGTGCGTGTGTGTGTGTGTGTGTGTGTGTGTGTGTGTGTGTGTGTGTGTGTGTGTGTTTAAGCAGGGCAGGTGAATGCATTCCTGTGCTGATTAAACCCCACAGGATCACGTCCAGCTATGAAGGAGCTCATTGTGCATCTGCAGACGGTGCTTTGGATCATTTCAGAGCTCAGATCTACAGAACAGGAAGTCCCTCGTAATGATAATAATGATAATAATAATAATGATAATAATGATAATGACTTTGTGATCCGCCATGCTTACAAGGACCTAGTGTCCTCACAAGTCACTTTGAAGCCTCGCCCTTACTTCGGTATTTAGTTCAAGGTCAGAACCTGTTTATCATCAAAGGGACGTTAAAGTCTGAGGCTGATCATAGTTTATATTTTATTTGTTGAAAGACCAAATCCAGAGACACAGTGAGACTCAGTGACGTGTTTTTAATAGTTTCTGGAAACATTGGCGCTCTCCGGCTCAGAGGAAGAAGATATATGAGGTTTATTAATGGACACGTTCAGTGTTAGTTTTGTTCTTTTTTTGTGACTTTTGTTTATAATAAGACAAATATAGAACGTATCCGCCACTAACAGGAGAAATCATCTGGCGTTTGGATCCGAGCGCACTCTGCATATATCAGTAAAAACCACAAATATTGCTGTCATCTTAACGATTATCATGCTGCTGTTATGATACACAGGTGTGCGCACCTTTTCCTGCAGCAGCAGCAGCATGAGCAGGAATTCACATTTATCAGGCAGGAAGTTGGAGAGAGCTCTTCTGTCAGTGTGAGAAATGGTCTGTCAACAGTTTGTAAAGGCTTCCACAAGATGCAGCTCTGCGACGGAGACGGGAAACGTTACTCCGACGCACGAAAGATGGAAAGAAAGAGTCGAGAATGATAGAAAATGAGGTCAAAGGGTCAACGCCGCTTATTTTACACATCAAAGCTTGTGTAGAGGTGTTGGGGAGGAAGTTGTTTAAAGCCTGTGTGAAATGTCCTCGAGTGATGTCACTCGAGTCGGCGTCTGTCAGGTCTGAAGTTTGAAAAGTTAAAAAGTTAGAAGTTGGAGTTAGAAAGATGCCGTTGCTAGCATAAAACACCCAAATATCACTGACTGAACTGCCAGCAGCTGGGTTGCATTGTGGGTAATGTAGGCGCCAGGTTTTGACAGGGAAGAAGAAAGTGTGAATAAATTTAGTTAAATGGATTAAATGGACTTCGAGCAGCTACTAACCACCTCTTCTCAATAAATGTCAATAAACTAATATTCACAAACGCTCGTCCTAATTTTCCAGAGCAGAGTGTGACGTCTTCACATTGCTTCTTTCATCTGACCACCCACACAAAACCAAAGATATTCAGTCGACTGTCACATAAAACTTCCTGAATTTCCCCTAGGGGATAAATAAAGTCTCTATTTATCTATTTATCCATCTACCTCTCTATCAAACAGATACACATTCACACTTCAGAAGCAGGAAGCAGGAAGTTTTATATTTTTGCTGAAAAAACATCTAATCGATTATGAAAAGAATCAAATTCTTCAGCTTCAACTTTCCTCTTTCCCTGAGAAACCCAGTGACGTGAGGCGGATGTAATCATGAAGGGAAAACTCCCTGTTGTAAAATAAAAAAAAAAAAGATTACATAAGAGACACTATGTATAATAATCGATCAGGAAAGCTGCTTCATCATTTGCTTCTTTGGCCTCCGCAGCTGAAGTGTGGGGGGATTAGAAATGTTTCCAAAGTGCAGTGGGTGGGGAGTTTTTGATCCAGTGCAGGCTGGGAGGGAAAACTGGAGCTTTGAGAGCCAGAGATCTCAGCAGCTGGCCAGATAATCACTGAGTCATTAATACTGATCAGGAAACACGGGTCATTTCATGCTGTATGCATGAAGTTAAGACTTGAGGTTTTGAAGGTGAAGTTTGGTGTGTGTTTCAAGTTACCTTCTCGATGAGCAGGTGAAGCTGCTGAGTGACCTGCCAGCACGGATCCCCTCGCACGGCCGTGATGCTCTGCAGGTCGGAGCCCGTCAGACATGAGACGCTGCTCCTGGCAAACGTCTCCTTCATCTGCACAGAGCGAAAAAAACGTCACGGAGTCACAATCAAACAATTAGACCCAACATCTCCTTTCACTTCCTGTCAAACACGTCTGCCGGAGGTATGACTGACTTTCCTTTTGTTTGTGTGTAAACAGCGACTGTGGAAATTCCCGCCGTCCTTTATGGCAGAAGAAATGTCTTTAACTTAAACCTGAGTCAACATATTTCCCTGACCTCTGACCCCTTTCCTCCTCTTTGCTTTCTTGTGTGTGTTTATGTTTAATTTCTCCATATATTGCTGCTGCATCTCCTCCGGGTTAATGATTAATTCCTGTAAACACAGACTGAGAGTTGTCTTGGCCTGAATCCAGGTAACCAGAGGACTCTGGCTTCACCAAATAAGCACAGTGAGTTCAACACACACACACACACACACACACACACACATACGTGCAAGCTCTGTAAAAACTTCTTCCTGATAATCACAGATAATCATAAAAAATAGCTGCAATTCACCTCTGCAGCTGCCAGTGCTCGTTACTTCCTTGTCCTCTCTGTTTCTGTGTTTGCAAATTAAGAGAAGAGGAAAAGTGTGTGCACGAAGTTGCATTGCGCAGAACGGACTTATTTTAATGTGAGGGGAATATACTGTACAGTGTGTGGCCTGGTTTGTGCTCTGGAGCGCAGCAGCGGAACCGATGCGCATAAAAACGAGTTCAAAACGTTTTTCCAAAAAGTGTCAACGCTCAATTACGCACTAAAAGTCTATAATAATCACAAAGTACTGTTCAAGGTCATTTAGTTTAAATTTCATGCGTCTGCATCAGAACCCAGAACAAGTCCGCGCCCGCCTCGCGGTGCGCACGGCAGAGCGATGCGTAAAAGCCTCCGCGCGTCCCCGGTTTGTCAGTCCGAACCTCTGGCTGTTTTCTTACCGAGTTGAGAGCCGTGGTGAAGTGCAGCACGGTGATGGTGACGACCACAGTCTGCAGCAGAACCGCCAGCAGCAGCAGGACCCCGAGTTTCGGACCGGAGCCCGTCATAACGACAGACCGCCGACCGGTACCGGACCAGCGCCGTCCCGTCGCGTTCCCAGACTTCCAGAGCAAGAACAATGGCAGAGAGTTGACTCCTTCACTTCTACCCTCCCCGTCCCCTGCACACAGGAGGAGGAGGAGGAGGAGGACGAGGAGGAGGAGGGGGCGGGGCCGACGTGAAGAACAAGAGCTTTTTCCCTCTTTGAATTTCTCCTGGAGACATTATTGTTCCATTTTTGCGCTGAAAAAACACAGATATGCTTCTATAGTTTATTGTGAAGGCGCATATCATGAGTGTAGATCTGAGCCCCGAGCCGCACTGTGAGAAAAACACCTTTTACATCACAGTTAATGGTTTGAAACGTGAGTGGCACAGCAGCTGAATTCTGACACGTATTAAGATGTTACAGAGTTTAAAGTCACTTATATTAAATCCCCATGAGATAAGTTTATAGATTTTGTTTCACTAAACAGCATCACACCGATTTGGGTTATATAACCAAAGGGTCTCTCAAAGGGCAAAAACCTCTCTTCAAAGGCCTTGGCCTCTCCGACTTATCTGTCACTGTGGACTGATTCAGACCACATGCAGCCAAGATGTCAGGTTGTTCGAATAAAAAAGAAAACTTAACTGATGTTCCTGGCGTTTCTCTCTTCACTATTTTATCTGTTTTGGCTCCAGATCTCTCAACCTTTCATCTCATCATTTATTGTGCATCCATCATGTTTCTGTCTGAGGTGAAATGTTCAAGAAAAAAAGAAAAAAAAGGCTTAGAAGGACAGAAATGGATTTTAAAAAAGGTGTTTGTGAGTTTATATTAGTGAGGAAATATATTGGAAGCTGATGGATTTCTGCTTATTATGAAGCTGCATGACAAACACATGATGTTGTCACTCCAGATTCTCGCCCCCCTGTTGAGAGATAAACCACATAGTTAAAGAAATTCAACGTTGCCGTTTAACTTTCAAAAAAAGTTGCAAGATTTACATTTAACCTCCGTCAGTGGAAATAAAACACAGTTAAAACTGACATTTGTTGACATGAGTCTCTTTCTCTTCTGCCTTTTATGTTTTTTGACATAATCCGATTCGACAAACTTGTGTGTAAAGAGCAAAAAACACACACGCTATCCGAAATGATTAACTCTGAAAGGGAAGGTGATCGGCAAGTCACAAAAACAACTTTGCAATATATTTGAGAAGGAGAAAGTTAAACACATGCTGATACTTCACACCCACTAAACTCAGAGTGTGAACTGCTGGCCGTCAATTCAGGTTCCCAAGGGCCAGCTGGGATATATATAAGAAGTCTTTTATTCCCTACAGGCACTGAACACAACATGACTGCTATTTATTAGTATTTATTTATTTAACCTGTCTCCTGCTACCTGCTCATTTCATATGTAGATAGATAGATAGATACTTTATTTATCCCCTGAATATGGTGTGTTTTGTTATGTGGTTTGTATTTATTTGTTATCGTACTTTCTTTGGGAGAGGCTGAAGACAAATTTCCACTGAGAATATAATCAATCAATCAATGATTTAAAATAAACACTAAACGGTTTGAAAGCTTTAAAAACTGGAGATTCAGATGGACAGATCAGAAATGAGTTTATATGCTAAAGATAGTGTCATTACGCATCTGTTTTTCATACCACGATATATTAAACACCTCTGTGATGCAGTTACACTTCTGTTTTTTAGAAATTCAGAAACTGCTCTTCTCTTAAATGACTTATGGTTGTGATCATGACGTCCTCTTGGCATCTGCAGTGGTTCACTTCTGTATTGGTATCGCTGATTCTAGGCCAGCTACAAATCGGTTTTCACTTGCGGAGTCCCCCAAGGCTCGATGCTTGGTCCAGTCTTCTTCGTTTACATGTTTCCTCTTGGCGGAGATAATATCAGTTTCTATTTTATGCAGATGATACTCAGATTTATCTAAACAGCGACCCTGAAAAGACCCGACAGCACACGGCCAACCTTCTGCACTGTCTACATGATATCCATAAGTGGAGGTCACAAAGTCTCCACCGGCTAAACACTGGTAAGACAGAGACTTTAAGTACAGGTCAAGAAAGTGCAAACAAGCAAATTTAAAACATTCTCTCTCCACTGTCTCGTTCCATAACTCGGCATTGCAGAAATCTTTGTGTCATCTTTGATCATAACCTCTCCTTAGATAAACATGTAAACTCCATTATTCAATCCTGTTTTCACTCAGTTCTGAAACCTTTCAAGGATTTCTTTCTGCTAAAAAATCTGGAAATTGTTATTTGTGCTTTCATAACCACTCAATTTGACTCCTGTAATTCCCTGCTCTCTGGCATCGGAAAAAAAAAGCTCTTTCCCGCCTCCATCTCGTGACCACATTTCACCGACCCTGGCTTCTCTCCACTGGCTACCTGTTGATTTTAGAATCGATTTCAAGATTTTATTGATTACTTGCCCCAAGATTTCCATCAGATTTGCTACCGTTCCTTCCCGCTCCCTCTGATCATCAGGTCTGGATTGATAAACAAAGGTGATGGAAGCAGTCAGGGCTTCTAGACTTTGGAAGGACTTATTCTATGTTTTGGAAAGTGCTGTATCAATAAATTAGTCTATGTATCATAATAGAAGACTGTATCCATGTTTCCCGAAGCGGTCACTGCAGGCATCCTCCCAGAATTCAACATAGTGCAACGGAAACATCTATTGTATGTTCATAGAACGGCACATAGGTTTTTTCTGTCTGAAAGTTGCGCAACGGTATCGTCACTTGAACGACTCTTTACATCTTTCCCGCTCTTTTTGACGCCAGGTTTCTCACTTTACCTTCAAATGTGACCGTTTTGAAACAATCTATACACACTTCTGGCATCAGACGACTTCAGATAACGCGTCATGCGAATATTCTGCTTCAAGTACACCCAGACTTTTACGTTTCAGTTGCCCATTAAATTCCTGTAGAGTGTCGCTAATGAATCATTGTACAAGCAGCTCATTCAAGAGACAGAGGAAACATCTTCTGAGTTTCTGTAAGTGTCTCTTCTCAGCCTGTTCAGCTTTTCCTGTTCATTTTAACTCCCCAATTCTTCTTTGATTTATTGCGAATTGAAGTACATCACTTCCTGTGAGTCAGAGAGTTTTTCACAGGAAAAGACCTTCCTGACACTGCATGTTTCAAACAGCAAATTCAGCAGATTCAGTCGCTGTCTTTTCACTATTGTTATTGACATCTCCTTCATCCCTGTATCTACACAAACATCCAATTTGTAGATATTTTTTTTATAGCCACGCTGGCTTTAAACACCTTCCTGAACATGCTGCTGCTTCCTGGTGAAACCTTTGTATCTTATTAAAAAAAAACACGTCGATTCTTTTACGACTTTTGAAAATTAGCTTTGTTTTTTAAGACCACCCAGGCGTTTTAGAGCAAATCAAAGGAAACACAAATATCTGCTCCAGTCAGACAAAAACAAAAGAGAACCAGACTTGAATTAGAAAGTTTGCACGGAGTCAGCAGCGACGTCTTCTTTCCCCCTGACATTAAGTGCAACGGTCAGTGTAATGAAAAGCCCCGGTCATGTTATTATCAGCGTATTGTTATGCAGCGAGGCGGGCTGAGCCTATAAATGGATCTCGGGCCTGTTGGCTCGTTCCTGCATCTGCAACATCTGGCCTCAATCTGGCTCCTACGCCCCGCCATCCCCCGGGAGACGCTCTCCGCTTAGGTTTCACTCCCCTCCATCGGCATGTCTGAAGGGCCTGCTGGGGGTAACTCTGTGTGTGTGTGTGTGTGTGTGTGTGTGTGTGTGTGTGTGTGTGTGTGTGTGTGTGTGTGTGTGTGTGTGTGTGATCGAGAGCACTGAGAATATGTGAAGGTCAAGATTGTCCATGAGAGCATCCTCACTACAGAGAGAGAGGCATAATTATTCGGTCTTTCGGGGGCTTGAATTTGTTTTAACCCTCAAATGAATTTTTACCTTCTGAGGACGAGTTGTTTGTCCAGAAGTGGAATTTGAATCGTCTTAATCTGACTGTGTAAAAAGATTTCAGTCCCCCCCGTGTGATCACTACAGACTCGAACACACACACACACACACACACACACACACTCTGAGTGTATTTCTGAATGGCAGCCAAGTTTTGATAGGGATACAAAGAGGAGAGCTGACCAACTCCCCCGCAAAGTCGACTCCCTCCCTCCCTCCTCGCCTCCCAAACTTCGTCTTTAAGCCCCCCCCCCCCCCTTCACTCTCCCTCTCTCCCTCTCTTTCTTTGTTTCCATCTGCCTCCTTCTGTCCGTCTGTCTTTACATTTATGTCTTTTCCTCGAGTCATCTCTTTAAATCTCAATCTCTCTATCTCCTCCTTGTTCCTGGTCTCTCTCTCTCTCTCTCTCTCTCTCTCTCTCTCTGTCTCTCCCTCTCTCTCTGAAGTTCAGCTAGTGGCGCTAATAAAGAAGTAGAGCACTGCCAGGGGAGGTGGTACGAGGTTTACGAGCTGTGCTCACATTTTTCACAGAAAAACAGCTTTTGTGCAACACCTATCCTGTTATTATATATGTGTTGTGTCTTTGTTACACTGATACATGCAACATGCTGCGATTACCTGTTTGAGTTGAGTTTTCTGCATGGACTGGGTGAAATATCAGCCTTTAGACTGTCTGTAAACTCCATCAGAACCGTTTGTCAGATGGTCAAGTAGCTTTGGAAACCCCCTCCTCCGACACCTTTACGGCCTCGGCATTGGACGGGCCGTGTCCAACGGTTTCTAAAAGCCGCCAAAAAACTATAATTTGGCAGCAATCCACACTTATGAGGAGATGATGTGAAAAAAGTGAACAGTTTCTGTCACGTTTGACCGTCTGAGGCCATTATCCCCATATTTAAACAACATTGCTTTTAAATATGGATGGTGTTTTTGGTGCTGATTCTCCATCAGGTGTTATTAAACCATCGCAGAAGAAGACAGTAACAAGATGATGTAATTAAAACGGTGAAAGAGTGAAAAGAAAATGTAGAAAACATTTTGTTGCTTGTAATAATTTAAGGAACATTACTCTTCTCATTGCTCCACAAA